TCTGTACTCAATCCATACTCTGTTTCTTCTCTGTATTATCCAGTTTGCCATCCATTTGGTGTTTTGCATGTTTTTCAAGAATTCTTTGATATTTGTGTCTAGCTAGTATTCTCTCCAGTTTAGTATTTCCCATGCTGCTGCTCTTGGATTGGCTGTTGTGATTGCTTCATCTTCTTTGTTTGCTCCTTCTTTTGCCAGTTTGTCTGCCTTTTCATTTTCTCTTCTCCTTGGTGTGCTTTGACTTTAATAAATGTTATTTGTTCTTGTCTTTCTTTGATGATTCTTTTAATCAGTGTTTTTGTTATCCAGTTTGCGCTTTTATAGATTTGGCTGCTTTCTTTGTCTTCTTTTTGAATTCCTTTTATATAAACATATATTCAGATAATCTTGATTTAATACAATTTTAACTAATATAATCATTATAATTTCATATGTTATAAATTATTGTAATTTATTATAATATATTTATCAACAATTATTATATTTAATTAATAAAAATATTATAAATTTCATATATTATATTTTTAAATTTTTGATTTTCAAAAAAATGTAAGAGTTTTATATTAAATTTAATACATATTATATCCTCCCAGTTATAAGTACCCTTTTTAGAAATTTATGTTAGATTTATTTTTATGGAATACTTATAATCATAAAAAATTGTTTTTTAATAATTTGATCAATATCAATCTGATTTGAATAAAAACATATCACTAAAAAGCTTTTGTTGAAATAAATCTAATGGTATAATTATTATTAAAATCTAATCATTATATGTTGAGATATATTAATTTTTGTATTTTTTTAAATGAAATTTTTTGTTTTTTTTTCTTAAAATTTTTTAAAAAATTTTAAAGTGCTTATAACCAGGAGAATATAGTAATTATAATTTATAAGAATGTTATTTAATATTGTAGAATATTATCAAATTAATAAATTAAAAGATGAATTATTGTGTAAACTCATAATAACTTATTTATAATTCAAAATAATTTTTGACATGCTTTGGTAATATAACAATATTCTAAACATAAATTACTTTTGAGTTTGATTAACCAAATAACAAAAAAGATACAGCAATTACACGTAAAAGCCCCATATATAGATATTTTATACAACAGTTACAATAATAAAAACGTATTATTATAGATTTATTAAAATTTATGAGTTAACTCTAGGGTTAAATCAAAATGAATTTCATGCATAATATAAAATATTATTACTGCATTGTAAAGATATACTGTGTACTTTTATTATCTTTGAACAAAGTACATAAAAACATTTAATACTGGTTTTATTAACTGATTATTAGAAAATATAAAACTTTATTAATAAAACCAAAATCGATGCAATACATACAAGTTTCTAAATAAGATGATAATATACTAACAATTTAAATTACTAGGGAAAGTTTACCATTAATAAGCATTCAAATTTCTATCACATAACATAAGTAATCCTTATTATGCTCCAAAAATTCGTATCTTCGAACTATGTCAAAGTTTGGGAAATCATCAAACAATGCTTTTAATTTTTTGTATCTTGTTTTATGAGATCCTTCAAAAGAACAGCATATTTCAGGAATGGCTAAATATTTTTGTGCAAGTTTGGCCATAACAGGAAATTCATCTTTGTGTATACGCCACCACTCAATAGGATTAATGCGTTCATTTTGACTATGTAATGATAATATATTGTATCTTTCAAATTCATAGTCTCCTAAATTTCTAAAGTGCTTAGAACTCATCACCAATCCAGAATTTGATGATGTGTTTTGTGTTCTTGCACACAATTCTAAATATTCTGACTCAATATCTTGACGCAATTTGTCCATTTCATTTTTCTGTGTTAATAAATATATTATAAATATCAATACATTTTTATAAACTTTATATGTATAGAAAAAACACTTACATCTTTTAGCGCATTTTTTGTATATGGATCAAAAAATGCAATTTTACAGTGTATATAATCAAAACAAATTCTTAAAAAGGAGTACATATCATCTATAAATAATTTTGTAAGAATCTCGTCTATGACAAGTTGGTTTTGTTTAATACGTTCTTCGAATTTTTGATCGTATTCCCATATATATTCCCCCAAACGTAAAAATTCAATTGCTAAAGTATAAAACGTATTTTTAGCATCATCAAGCTTTCGCATAGCATTTCTTAAAAATGTAAAACATAGATTCAAATTATTGAAGAATCTGATCACTGTAGTATCTGGCATTAAACTATTTATCCAGTTTCCTTTAGATGTAGTTTCAGGGCTGTTGATTAATACAGTGATCCACTGTCGAATCGGGGCTTCCAATATTACTATATATTCTAATACATAAAATATAAATATTAGTTTGTCATTAATGTATTTTAGCAGATCTTCAATGTTATGATTTTTATTTCCTCGAAGTGCTTCTTTAAGAAATTCTTGCTCATGTCTAATCAGATAAGTCATCAGCTTTTTGGAATTTTTTGCATTGATACCGATTTTCTTTGCTTCATCCATAATATAATCCATTTCTTTTTCTAATAATTTTTTATGCGACTCATCCAAAAATTCGAGTTCTCTATCAAAAATTGTCGCCAATAAAAGTTTTATAAGATAGTTACAATGCAAATGTATAACATCTTCAAAATTATTAATTGCATCTGATATATGATCCTTTGAAAAATATTTTTCTCTGGTTATTGATATAACTTTATCGTTTATCTCCCATACATTCAAAACTCCTTTAATGCTTTTGAAAATGTCATCCTTACCGATATGCTTCGGGATTGGAATAATATCCAGAAAAATTTCACAAAGCTGAAAATCATCAGAAAGCCAATGACAAGTTATCTTCGTATAATAACAGCTATCAATTTTAATAGACTCGATTGCTAATGCCACGGATTCAGCATCACGAAGTATATTCTTTAACTTAGGAAACAATTGATCGTAAAAGTGTATTATTTGTGAATCGATAAATTCAGAGGTGTGATATTGAGAATTTTTTGATTTAATTAATCGATAAAAATCTGAATCTACAGTAAGTGAAAAATCATTTTTTCTAGATGGGCTTGTTTTTTTAGATCTCTTGTGACTTATGGTATGACTCTGAGCTAGTCTTTTTGAATTTGCATTTACGATAATATCATGACCATTCCTCAAATGATATCTTAAATTTGAAGGTGAGCCACTATATTTATATTCTTTACCACATCCAGGAAGTTTGCATTTTGTTTTACGAGTTTTTCCATCGGACGAAACAGCCGGGGTTGTAAAATAATTCCAAACTTGACTTTTAACTTTTTTAGCTAAGTCGCATTGAGAATTTTCTTCGGGTACTATTTCTGGGGACTGTATTATTTCAGTTGCTTCGCTTGCTAATGTAGAAAGTAACTCGGAGGGATCAAACGTAGAATCCTGTAATTCAATGTTGAAGGACATTGTAAAGTCACCATACTGATACTGCAGCATCAGGTACAGTATTTGTACGTACCGTTGTATATTACATTGTACTACATATTTTATTTCTTACTAAGCACATTCACAAACGATCAACAAAAAAAAATTTTTTTTATTTTCATGGGTGCTATTACGTTTCAAATGTACGAATTACTGTATATGTATGTAATTTAGTATGATTTTAAAAATACAAATTATTCTGATTAATAAGTTTCAAATTTGTTATTATTAATTAAGATTTATACATAAGAATAAACGATACCGATAAAAAATTTTCTAAAAAAGTATAACTAATTATAAAAAAATACAAATAAAACAAATAAGTACACTAATTATTTGATTTAAATAATATTTACACTAGTCGAAATGGATTTATTTGGCATAATGCCACTCGTCAATCATTCGTCAAAAAAGTATATAATTTGGCTAATCAAAATTATATAACTT